GAGTCCTTAAGGGCCCTCACAAACGAGCCCTTAAGGTTCACGGACTTGGTGGCCACCTTGTGAATGACGGCCACCGCCGCTTTCGCCCTCTCCTGCACGGACACGGGAGCCTGGGGGGCATTTCCGCCCACCGGCTCCCGAACCTTGAGCAGGAGATCCGCGATCTCCTCCTCCGCTACGGCCTCGCCGTCCACCCGTACACTTCTGTAGGACTCCGCGTTTGAGAACGCGGAGCCTGACGGGGTTAAGACCGGGGCCGAGGCCGGTTTGCGCGCCCTCCCTCGGCGGCTGCTTGCCACCTTTGGTGGCATCATCTCCTGGGACGTATCCGTTTCCTCGTCCCTGGAGCGTCCGCGTTTCCGGCTGTCGCTTCGTTCCGCCTCCATGGCCTCCGCGCCATCCGACGAAGCGGCGGATCCGGAACGCAGCCGATCCGATGCTCTTCGGCTCCCAGAGATCAGAGTCAGACTGACTTCTGGGAGCCCCATCGAGATGGGCGTTCCCGACGCCACCTCACCCTCAGTGGACGACCCATCGACTCCACTGTTCCTCTTCTCCCTTGCACCTTTTGTTTCAGTGTCCGTTTTGCTTGCCTTTGTCTGGTTTGTGTTTGTTTCCGATCGTTTCTTCGTATTTTTATTTAATGATTGCATAATTGATCCCACGAGTGGGGGAGAAATAAAGGTCCACCCGGGCAGAGATCCCCCATTACCCGGGCAAGCGTAAGTTTTTAACCCAACCGAGGGGTCCGCAGGTACCTCGGCTTGGAGTGCGCTCGCGACTGAACTTCCCATCAGCCATGCATCCCCTGGCCACGCACCAGAACACGGGATTCGGGGAATTTTTTAGAGAGGTTATCTTCCTCGCGGTCCGGGCGGTTAAGCCAAGACCCTCGCCCCCGATCAGAGCCGCGAGACTTAACCACAGCGCTCTTCTCGGGATTGCGATATGCCGACGGTTGACAGGGAGACTACGTCCCCCTGCCTGCTCGGTGGTAGTGTGAGTACACGCCGAGCCCGTCCTCCTTTCTCCACCGCTATCAGCGGAGAAACTGTGGCCCCTACAGGGCCCCGCCATCAGGTTTTTTACCGAGGTTTCCTCCTCCATGCTCCGAAGAGCGAAGAGCCAGCAGGGCAACCGGCAGACACGCCCACCCTGCTGGACCAGGCCTTGCCCGAGAGCCGATGAACGGCTGCCTCTTCTGCTAGAATATTGGCCGCTGGCGATAATCCTCTCCTCCAAGAGGACAAGGAGGAAACAGTACCATCGCCAGCGTTTCCAGGGTGCACCACGAGGAGGTTTTCTAGCCCAGCACCCCATAGCTAGTGCAACCTCAGGGCCTTAATTCTGCTATTTTATATTAACGCTAAGCCACTGTCATTCCATTGACACGCTGTTTAGATGCCACTGAGACGCCATTCCATCGATCAAAATTCTATTCTACTAACATCAATTACTAACACAGTGTCAATAGAGTGTCGATATAGATCATCAATAGTGATACCAACACCATTGCCATACATGGAAAATTAAATATATATCATTTTCTTACAAATTAAAAAATGTTTTCCACTCTTACAAAAATATCGACGACATTTTTATCAGTGGCAGTTCAGTGACAAGTCTTCGGGAGGCCATCGGTCTTATATAGTAGAATATACTTTTCGACATCTCAAAACACTGACTTATGTTATTTTGGATGAGTAACATTTTTCTTCTCGATTTCCTGAAGCCTGTGCTTGAAGTGTGTAATGCGAAGCCGGGAAAGCGCGCGCTATTTGATTTAACCATTGGCTCATTACACGGTGCTAGATATCAGATTTTGTACGTCATATGACTACTGTAAGGTTTGCTGGTTCTTAGGGTGCCGTACCCAAAGGGTAAAACGGGACCCTATTACTAAGACTCCGCTGTCCGTCCGTACGTCTGTCTGCCGTCCGTCTGTCACCAGGCTGTATCTCATGAACCGTGATAGTTAGACAGGTGAAATTTTCTCAGATAATGTATTTCTGTTGCCGCTATAACAAAAAATACTAAAAACAGAATAAAATAAATGTGTGATAATACTCCCATACAACAGTGGTTGTTGTAAGAGCCGACTAAGGGAAGAAACTCGAATGAGTCTTTAAACATCCACCACTTTTTGAACACTTATTTAAACTTCGGTAATTTTTATATAAAAAACAGTTAAAGCCAAGATGTGGTGTAATCAAAACGTACAGTGCATTAGTTCACTGCGAATAGGCTTCGGTGTTATTAGTCTCAGCCTTATTGATTGTTTTTAAACACGCGATACAGACATCAGCCGATATGAGTCATAGTGGACTACATAGGGTTCTTTGCCACTGCGGATGGTGGCGCTGAACTGTCTAGTGTTGATGCTAGCCTGAATAATACAGGTATTCAAGATTTCGTTTTAGTATGCCTCATTGAAAGACGGGAATAATGTTAATTCTAGTAACTAAGTCACTTTTGTAAAATACCTTAGTTACTAGAAGAATTAATATGTGAAATAAGGAAAATACAAAAACGACAAATTTATTCTCCATGTCGTGCTTGTTGGGCGATCAATTTAGAACTTTATTGTTTAAAATACTTCTAAGGTAGTAATATAAATAATTTCAGAAGATCCACTAAATACTTTTATCTTAATTTACAAACCCCAATGTTTATTATTGTATATTCAGCGCTACTTACTCACCAGAAGGGAAACAGAAACTAAAATCGATTCAAGTGGAAGTAAAACATTGGACTCTTCGAAACCACTTAAAAATTGTTCACGTGTCGTTCTTTGTCGTCCTACCAAGAAAAAGTTGCAAAATAATTTAAGGAGACAACTTTCCTGTTATTCTTAATTTCACTTAAGACGAGGCATGACAACTAAAAGATAATAAAGGTATGAATAAGATAAAAACTATTTATAAATACTTTTAATTATTAATGGTATGATATGAATACCGGTTTCCATATTCTTGTCAGGGTGTTAAGGTCTACCAGGGATTTCCTTTCTAGGGTAGGTAAACCTTGTTCCCCGGCTACTGGTACGAGAGACGGCTGCGGTTTTTAGTGGTTTGAGTCCGGACACCACAGCGGTATCCGAGGTGATTTTGGCACAGAAAGAAGGTGAAGGTCATCAGTGGAAATTCATAAACATTTATGATTAAGAAACTTTAACAATAAAATAAGATAAATTAATAAGAATAACAGTGTCTTTATAGATTTTAATTTTAAATTAATCGTCGTAGGCTTTGTGTCCAAACCAAGTCCATACTAGCCAAAAACATTTTTCTATTTCAAAACAATAACAAACAGCTAATGGACTAGGTACTTACATTTTTAAAAGAGGCTTGACTTTTTACATGTCTTTTTAAAAGTAAGATTAAATGACAGATATGAAATGTTTATTGTACTAAGCCGCTGGACATAAAACTGAATTAAACACGGTATCTAGAACTACATACATACATAGATTCGCTTTACCTACATAATAAAAATAACTAAACATTTTGCAATGCATACGTTGCAGTCTGATCCTATTCATGATAACCCGTCTGCACGTACGATGTCAACCAAACACGTGCGCAGTATGTACTCAATGATGTACGACGCACATACTAACATACCTACTATTTGTATAAATCGGAAGGGTCAGCCGTCGCTCCGCGCCTCGCGCTCGTTTCCCCGTAATCTATCGATCGCGCGACGTTGCCGTCTCGCTACTTTCCCTACAACGTTGCCTGCTCGCCGTTTGTATTTAGACTGATAATATTATTGTAACGAGACGGTCTGGTTGTATCAGTACTTGATAATAATCTCTCCTGTGACAAAACCTGACCCTATTCTATCGTTACCTACTTTTAAACTCACTAGTAATAGGTACTTTCTGTATACTATTGGGTACATTTTTCTGCAGACATCTTCATGTCATTAAAAATACACGCTGTTTACATTCGTGACTTCAGAATATCTAACATTACTTCATTTGTTTAAAAATATTTATCGTAAAGTGCGATACGTGTATTCATAAGTGTTTTATAAACTCTTTCATTCACCTACACTCGCCTTGTACATATTTTCTATGGTCTATTTTTTAACTTCTGTTTCATGACCTTTGTCAGGTCTACATATAATAGTATGTAGGTATACTTATTCATCTAATAAAAAATAGGGTCTGTTATGTCTAGAGGATGGTGTATACACCGTACACATACATTTCGCAAACTTTTTTGGTTTAACATAACAGGCAAAGAATTAGTTGACATAATATATCTACAGAACTCGTTGGCAGCGTGTTTACATTACAGCTTCCTGCTTTAGGTACCATAAATTATCATAAGTATAATGTGCGGTTCGAATTGTACTAGATCCACGTTTAGTCACTGCCCATGCAAATCAACAAAAATAATATATTTTTAAGATTTATCAGTGTGATTTAATTAGGCTTTCTTTATCGATTTAGAACTCTTCAGTCATTGGAATAACTTAAATGTTACCTCAAAGGTTTGTAGACCTATTGCATTTGCTGAAGAGTGTTTTGATTAGGCTTTCTTTATCGATTTAGAACTCTTCAGTCATTGGAATAACTTAAATGTTACCTCAAAGGTTTGTAGAACTATTGCATTTGCTGAAGAGTGTTTTGATTAGGCTTTCTTTATCGATTTAAAACTCTTCAGTCATTGGAATAACTTAAATCTTACCTCAAAGGTTTGTAGACCTATTGCATTTGCTGAAGAGTGTTTTGATTAGGCTTTCTTTATCGATTTATAACTCTTCAGTCATTGGAATAACTTAAATGTTACCTCAAAGGTTTGTAGTTACCTATTGCATTTGCTGAAGAGTTTATTGTTCATTAGCATTTCGAATCTTAAATCACATACATGATAGGTTATATTATCGATTAATATTTAAATTGTAATCAAACAAAAATATACTGTAGTAAATTTTTATTTTTTGTATAAAATGGAATGATATTATGTATAACTTGTTAACAAAGCTAACGGTTAGTCAAAATTACCAGTAACCGGATCTAATTTAATATACTGTCTGCGGCCATTTTTTGACCTAATACCCTTAATCAAACACAAAACTTCAGTTCGAAATTCTAATTTTTGATCTATATTAAATTCTCTAACCGCGGGCAATAGGGATTCGAAAAACGATCTGTCCTCGTCTTCGGCGCTTGTTGTATAACTAGCAGTTGTGGCTGTGTCCGGAAAGGGCGTGTCTACATATTCTATATCGTTATGCTGTTTTGAAATTCGTTTCCTTTTTAAGTTTTCTATTGTCGACGGAGAATCCTCTGCATCACTGTCCCACATATTGGTATCGGTGACTATATCGAATTTCTTACTTTTGAAACTAACTCTTTTGGATTTACTATCGTCGTCGTCACTCTGATCATTATTGTCATTTTCGGCCTCAACGTCACTGCCCGATTGACTATTCTGTTTATCTATATAAAGACTGTTTAAAAACTCTAAATGTCTTGCATATACATAACCTTTTTTACCGTATTTCCGTTTTAAGTGACGTACGAAAGAATCCCTGATATTTCGCCATTTCCCGTGCAATTTACGATCTGGAAATATTAAATGACTATTTTATTTAAATCATACACAGTAGCACTGTTATTTAACCAAAATCGTTTACAACAACAGTTATTTTTAAATGTATTATAACGATAATTAACACAAACAACGTACGGAATATGCCAGCTTATTCAATATTAGTGACAAAGAATTTTCATTTAACAATATTTCGAAACGAATATTAATTTAATTTATGATAAAAAAACTTCATTTGTAAAGAACCCTCCATTAATATTAAAAAAATTATATTACGAATGTTTACCACATTATTATTTTTTGGTCATTATAAGTTATACTCGATGTAAGTCTACGACAACTTCGTATTAAAGAGACCAGTAAGTAACATTGTTTGATATACTCCGACCTATCTACGGCAACTATACTTCAGATATTTATAATTAATCCATATATTTAATATACTTTCTAAATAAATGGTGACAGAAATAGTTTTACTATAGTAGTAGCTGTATATATATGTATATCCACGTATCTAGAAATATAAAAGCGTCCAGAAAAGCACGTTCAAAAAAAACGTTTATGAACGAGTTTTTTTACCATGTCAAATGGCATGATTATTATTCTGCAATCCGTACTATTCCCATTTCAACCCAATTCACTCAAAAGTACTATCACTCCCATAACAAACGCACAAAATGATAAATGCATGATTTTACTGCTCGGTTTGAATTTTATAATCATCCCGTTTCAAGGTCTAGAGAAATCATAGACAGTATTTTTGGTTTATTATGTCTCTATGTGAGCTAAACGAAAGAAAGCTTTTGCGATTACATGTGTAGACGTAACGTTAGATTTAACATACAGTAAAAATGAATAATTGCAACTAATAATATGAATTTCTTTTTCCTCTATTAGACTCTCATAATGAAATCGTCATTACCGCTTAAAATAGCTAGATATAAATTTAATTATGCACATTTTGTTTAATTCATCACTTCATCAGTCAGTTTTTGCAATTGTTATATGTGGATGTGGGCAAATTTAAAGGAAGTTTATTTTTTCTATATTAGCTTACTCGTCTTGCCCTGCAATGCATGATGATATTATTGTTTTGCTTTGTGTAAAATATTATTGTAAAAAATAAAATACTTGTTAATTGTTATTTTATTACAATAATTGAACTTGCATTATATTAGTATTGTAGTAGGGACCTTTGTATGCTATTTCTATCATTCTCTTATTCCACACTCTGTTAACACAATTGGCACTATCACGCTCTATGACGCACGATCTCAAAATGTTACCCACATTGTATGAAAACAAACAGAAATACTCCCTAAAGTTTGCAGGGAAACAATTGTATGTTAATAGAAATAATTAAAGTCTGTTTCTGCTAGATAAATGTTTAAAACGTAAACATACAAAGATAGACTCCTAATTAACAGACGCCATACATACCGTATAATATTTTAATAGTATTCCTTTGTTACCTATACAAAACAAAAGTTATATTGCAATAGAAATAGGGAGTATTGTATGTAAACAACATACAAACTACTCGAAAACCATAACTTGTAAGTGTTATCAATTCCTAGTTTCGACACTCATCTGCCTAGTTCACATCAACAGCCTATACTAGTCCACTGCTGGACATAGGCCTCTCCTAGTTCAGTTTTAAAATATTTTAAACCAAATTCGAAGTAGAAATCGGCACATTTTATTTGAAGTAAAAAGGTAAACTGAAACTTAGCACTTTATTTCGACTAGCAAGCACTTAATAATTCATTTAATTGCTCACATATTATTATTTCGTGAGACGAACAATAATAGATAACACTTACAAACATCCAACTTTTCTTTATAAGGCAGTTCGTCAAAATCATTTATAAATAGTTTAGCTATTTGCGCCCACGCTTGCTGTTTCTTTTTTTTAAATCGATATTCTTCACTGTTTACATCCCATAACTCTGGGTACTTCTTCACTTCACTTATAAACGATTCAACGTCGAGACAATATGAAGACATCTTAGCTACACTAATAAAATCGTCACGATTTTACTGCGACTAGCAACGCAGCTCCCAACCGGGACGGACGGCCGACGCGGAGTGACGCAGCGGGGTCGCAGCGGCCAAGTAGCGCCGCGGCTGCGTTTTGTGCACGGTCTGGCAACGTCGCACGTCGCCTCAACGACCGTCCTCACTTTTTGTATTTTTATGTATTGGAATTTATTTGTTTACCGTATTGTCTAGCAGTGTAGTTAACCTAAATGACGTAATGTTCAAGAACCACGATTATTATTAGCAATACAATTTGTTAAAATAAAATTAACGCACATTAGTTTTTTACACTCAAAGGTTAACGTGTTTTATTGTACTACGAGTATATGTTATATTTATAACTTCCATTTTTTTAAAACTACCTGATACCTGACTACACAGTAATTAGGATATAAAATAGCGATGGAGGAAAATTCTAATCTATTCATCCATTATAGGTTGATAGACAACAACATACTAAATCATACATATACACATGCACACTTCAAGGCCTAGAATTATGATTGGTTTGATTTACCGAACTGAAAGATTGGTAGAAATATTCGTATTATTAAACTAGGTTAAGAATTTAGAATGTTAATAAGCAAAGCTACAATGCTTCAACAGTAAATAGCCTGTGCCCTGTTGAATATATTAAAATGTTAAATACTTTACTCCAAGTATTCATGTAGAAACATAAAAGTGCATAGATACATAAGTGTGTATATTTATTAGCTGTGCAACAACCTGTCTGCCGATGTAGTATAGGTAGTAGGTATATTCCATCCAAAAGTTGTCTCGCAGCCTGCAGAAGGCCAGCTATTGAAACACAGTTACGGTTTACGATTTTTTATTTACTATTTTATTATGATTTATCATGAAAGACAACATTTCATGAAATGTTCGAACTTTATGATATTATGATGAATTCCACGAATTGGACACATTACTAATGTAGACTCAGCAATTAATTTCTCACCCGCTGTATTATTTTCGTGGGCGGTCACCGTTAATTTAAATGCCGACTTCTTGGAGGCGACAACTATTTCATTAGTTAATGCTATAATTTACAGGATAAATAACTTATGGTTTAATTTGAAGAAACTAAAAGTCCTTATCCTTATACGTATAAGAAAAAAGCTAATATAACGTGTGTTCGATATGTATTCTGTTATGGTCTTGCTTAGTACACAAATTGTGCCTTTTATCAGACGACCGCTCTTAAACCTACTTGTTGTAGTTTGTATCTAAGATCCTTTAAATCTAATCTTAACTACATTACTACGCATGTTAGATAGTTGGTACTGTTATTACATATTACAACTAGGGTTTTTTATCTGCACCATACAAAGAGAACAAAAACATCTTTATATATATATAGTTAATGGAATTGAAGGGGAGGAAAACTTGACACAAAGGCTATACCAACCCGTCTGGCCAGTGTGGTATTACTATACCACTCCAGGCTACTGGCCAAAACCTCCTTTCCAAGCAGAGAGGACTATTAAAGGCTGTTTATGTGATGTGATGTTTTTTTTTTGTTTTTGTTTTTTTTAAAAAGACAACTCCCGCAACACAAAGTGTGGCATGAGCTAAGATTATTCGTAGTAAAAGCGATGTTTTAACGTTAAAAAAAAAGCACTTCTGCCCCTTGCTGTGATGAGCCCACTGAAGTAGAATACGCGAAGTGGCAGTAGAACCGCAGCTGTAGCTTCCGAGACTATGCCACTAATGTATTAGACGCCCAAAGTGTACTAAGTTGGGGAATTATTGCGGAACTTTGGAATAATCGCAAAACTTTACAATTTAGGGCGCGAACTTACACGAAACGCCTTCAACAAAGTTTTGCATCTCGTGGAACGATATGGCACGAGCTAGGAAAACTTCACTTGCTTTTCTTTACCTTTCACTGCTAGCTCGCTTTGTGTTTGACCAAGATTCTTTCATCACTATAATTTTATTGTAATTTAAGTAAAAGGTGTTTTACCGGCCGAATATTCAAAAGCTACTCAATTTAAAAATGTCGCTAGGCTTCGTCACAAAACACTGACTCATAATTGATCGTAGCCTGTGAAATGTAGGTATGAATTCAATGTGTTGTTTTGGGAGCTAGCACACAGAATCATGAGATATTTTTCTTTTAAGAGAAAATATATGGATATGAAAGTGCTAAAAGATTTATACGGATAACAGAAGATACCGGTGTCGTGTCAAGCGACTGAAGCGTTTAAATAAACCATTGCTTTTCTTTCTACGGAATACTTGGCGAAGAATTTTCTAGGAAGTACATGTAATACAGCTTAATGTAATACAATTTGATCGCTAGATAATGTAAAAAAATTAATGCGTAATATAACCTCAAAGGTTGGCAACGCACTTGTGACTAGTTACAGGTGTCCATTGCCGGTGGTAGTCACTTACCATGAGTTGACTCTTCTGCTCATTTGCACCTGATATCATAAAACAAATCTTGTTGCTCTCACATACAAACATACCACGATAAAAAGTTTGTTTCGGAATTAACGTGACGAAGAGCCTACTAAAACCAATAATAGCATATCATGAAAATAAATTTGCCAGGTTTGCGTCCGCACAGTTGGTTTGCCGGACAAAAACCCCTCTGAATTTGATTGTTCTAAGTAAACCTACATATAGTCATCCAAACATCACATAGCATAAGTCTCAAGATGAGCTTGTGAGTAAATGATCTAGGGTTCTGACGGCCTAGTGCGAGTTTACTTCACATCAACTTGATCGACATGCCGACTGCGTTCGGCATTGCGATTGGCCCACACTGAAATTGCCACCAATCGCAAGTTGATGTGAAATGAACGCGCACTAAGCTCTCAGATCACAGAAAGGACTCATTTCATTATATTTGGCTCAAACTCTAATACCTGGAAAATCAAATTCGTAATATCTATGTCTAATTTGCAGAATATCGGAACGCACGGTATAGTATATAAGTATAACTTATATTAATTATGTTTTTATTGTTTGTTACAGGTATTAAACAATTACAACAAAATCTTAACGTCGCAAATGGTTAAGGTAAATATTTAGTATAGACACATCATTACAACTTGAATAACATTTATTTTAATTAAACCAACAAAAAATTATACATCAGAGACATAATCATACGAAAAAGGAAATATATTGCTGTTATCACGTTTTACAATATATTGTTAATTAGATTTTCAAGGTTACCTTGAAATTATTTATTTGACTTCACTTTGCAAAGTCATATTATTTTTAATTAAATTGTATAATCTGCTGCATATGACTAGGAAACTATAAGAAACTAGCTGTACTCTGCCACGCTTCGCTGTGGCACATTGGTTGCACCCATGAGAAATAAGGAACTAAACTGAAGCGAAAATATATCATGTGAAAATCGATGCAGAACTTTTTGATTTTTTAAAGGTACACAAAACAACTTAACATGTATACGTATATACGTACGTATATGTATACAAATTAAGATAACATCATAACAAATAATACTATAAATCGACGAAACATTTTGATAAATAAAATACTTTATTACTTTGGTAACTAAATTCTACTGTAAATCTTGTAGTCAAAGCTGATTCATAAAAGTAGTGTTAAATTAAAGTAGTTAATTAAATCAGTTGAAATGGTAGAGAAACAAAATTATAAAATAACTTTAATGTCTTCGACTAATTATATTTGAAGTCAGTGACAATGATTGAAAATAATATCTTTTAACTTCTTTTACACTGTGTTGAAATTAGGAAATGAGTCAAGTGGACTCCATGATATCATATCAAAGTTTTATATTAAATTAAGTACGAACTGTAATAACTAAACTTAGAAAACAAACATCAATAAACTATTATTATCTCGGGCCCTTGCCAACTATCTAATGGCAATAAATGTTTTTGCCAAAATACTTGGATATTCTCCATATTCCACATGATTTTTTTCGATCATCAAACGAGGACTTACAAAAACATGTAAGTACCGTTTGTTAAAATGTTAGGAAATAGTTTATACTTTCTGTAATGAACTAAAGACTCTCGGGAAAACAATAATATTTACGTTCTTTTATGTGTGATTATATGGCATCAATCCCACCCACGCTAAGTGAAGAATTAAAATGAATGAAAGAAATCACCGCGTGTTTTTATTTGCAAAATTCTGTGACACATGGGATCTATATAGAGCTATATAGGCACTGTAGGAAAAAAAATCGCGCGAAAAATGAATCTGTGATTTGATACAAAAAGATTTTTATTTGTCATTATAAATACTGTTGATTTCATTATATATAGTGTACACATATATATATATATATATATATATATATAATGTGTGTAAGGTTGTCTGTAAGAGATCGCCGTCAGCAATTCTTTGATTCTTACGTCTTTATACTTGTAACTAATTTATGTGTTAACTGTATACAATAAAGATATAAATAAATAAATAAAATGAACGCGATACGTAAGTATATGTAAATCGCCACGATTTATTTCCATAGAATTTTGCGAAATAAAAACGTGCGGTGAAATATCGCTGTGCGGACGGGCCCTTACATTTTCTTGGAGCGGTAACGAATTTAGAAGTTTACAAAATTTCATACCAATGGTATTTCTAATTATTATGGTTTATTGTTGCGAATATCACCACACATAAATTCCATACTTAAATATTTGTGATTTTAAATAAAATCCGCTGTCAATGGAAACTTATGTCTGTTTATATGTTGCGCACGACTGAGAATGTATTATTTTTATTATAATGTGTATAATTTATAAATACAATAACTGCTTTTGCCATTTCACCATTTAACATTCTTTCAATATTTTTCTATAACGGTTTTTACTTAATTAACTTTTATAGGAAAAATCTCGCTTATAAATAGTCTCACAGATATGTCAGAAAGTGCTAGAAAATAACATTTAACTAAAATATATTAAGACATTCAAACTTAAAAACAAGAAGAACATTAATAACAGATTTACGAGCACCAATACTTTTTGAACAAATCCTAAATGCCTATTCAGTACTATCGTGCCTTTGTCTTTTAATATCGAAGGTTTTATCAGACGAAGAAGTGCCAGGTCTCGTATTGTTGTAATGACATGATACAGCCTCCTGCATCACGTTTGCTATTTGGGCTCTCACCCACATCTTTATATTGATTGGGAGCTGTCTCATTTCTGGAAGAAAAGATAGTAAAAAGAGCCGATCACTGTCCGTCTCACTTTCAGCTATTTCTACAGGGAACATTGGCATTTCAATTTCTTCTGGAGGTTGATTGTCGTCGCTAGATTGCCGCTTCCTTTTTTTTCTTTTAATCTTTTTTACTTTGATAGTTGCTGTTTCAATGTCAGGATCGTCATCTGGGTTGGGCAACGGCTCGAATATGAGGTCCTCTTCGAGATCACTGAAAATATTGCATTATTAGATTGTGTGATCTAAATAAATATTATTATTGTTATTGATCCTTCTGACATTTAGACAGGCCAATTGTTCTAGTACTCAGTGATCCTGACTGCTAACCTAGAGGGCGTGGATTTGATTCCTTACCAGAACAAGTACTGTATGATGGTATTTTTCTGGGTATATTTTATGTATAATATGTATGTATTAAGTAATATACATATAAGAATCCTACGATCCTATGGTCTGGTTACCATAGCACGAGAAGAAAAGTTTTAGTTTTTTACTCTCTATTTATGGCGTGTACTTACTCATCCTCGCTTAGTGTACCTTCATAACCTCCAAGAAAACTCATCCTCTTGAAGTAGCGATACACTCGTCTATTGATTCTTACTCCAGACCTGCGTGCGCGCAATTCTCTATTGTATGCATCTCGTAGCGAACGCCATTTTCTTTGTAGCTGTAGAACTACAATAAAAGTATTTATGTATCATATATTATTGTATGTATCATATATTGTAATTTAGCAGCAAAAATAATTTAGAGCCATTACATATCTATCTACGAAGGTATCAGAACACCAAGAGACATTGATTGGTAACAATAATCCTTTGTCTCGTTAACCTTTCAGCAGTCACAGCATTCAACAGAACTCTAAAGATTTCCTACCAGTAAGTGGGGCTTCTAGAGTTCCTTGAAAAGGATAACAGGTTGAACAATTCTACTTCATCGAATAAACTCGTAACTACTAAATATTTCGATCGAAGACAAAAAATAATAATACTGCTATTGGCTGTTAAATAAAATTATTTAATCTGTGTGTTATTTAATGTTATTTACGGTGACGAATTAAGAAGACGAAGTGGCACTACCCCTTATTCATCCCATGGGTGTCGTAAGAGCCGACTAAGGAAACAAACACCGCAGCAACAGCACTGCAAAGGAAAACTTGATTGAACAGAACCCTATACTAACCCGTCTGGCCAGCGTGGTATCTATAGTGGGCCAAAACCTCCTTCCTAATGAGAGGCCCATGTTCAGCAGTGGATTATTAAAGGTTGTGGATTATGACGATGATGAATCTGTTAGGGTTTGTTTATTAAACTCACAAACGGCCCTGCCTTAAGTGTTGTGACTGACTGAGTAATGAGGACCTATAAAACCGCACTCCTAAAAAGGTTAGTGCTTGTTTATTTTATGGTATATTATGGCATAAGAGAGTATATTTTATGGTATAAGAGAACAAGCGAGCAGACGGGTCACCTGATAATAAGTAACTACCGCCGCCGCCGAGTTACAAGTACAAAACTAAAAAAATATTCAAATAAAATAGCAATCGTAAGACGCTGATAAAATAAGGTTTTTTAAAGTATGTTTACAAAGTTGGGTTTTCCTTCGCAATATTTAAGTCTACATAGTTTAAAATAAACTAGTTTTTTTTTTGTTGTACGCTTAGATATTTTAAATCTATTAAATCTTCGGTTTTCACCAATAGAAAGATTGATTCAAGAGGAAGGTTTATATGCATAATACATGCATATTATAACAGAGAAAATCTGAGAATTTCAAAGATATGATGTAAATGTTTTGTGCTCTTACATTGCAAACGCTGGCTAAATTTTACGAGATAGACCAAATAATGTACTATGGAATTGTATCAATATCAATATGATCTTAAAAAAGATCTACAAAACAGTCTGCGATGGTATATGTCTATCTTCTAAGAATAACTCACAGTATCCATTTTTATCTTTTAAATATTACAAAATTGTATTATTATTATTCCTTACAAAATTGAATACCTTAGATACGTTGTGCATTTAAGGTAGATTAAAATTGCTCTATGCAGCATATCATTAAAATGAGTATTTTACAAGATATTAGAGGTTTAAACCTCTAATATCTTCTAAAATACTCATTTTTGCGGATTCCAACGACCGTCGAGCCCTTACGTCCGTCGCGAGTGGCAGTGGCCGGTAGGATTAGAGCGCCTATAAATATTACATTTAAAGATGTCCTGGAGTATAGTCCTATCATAATAATAGTATAATTAATTACTTCACACTGCCACCACATTAGTAGTATTAGTAGTATCTACATTGCACCCGTGCGAATCCGAGGCGGATCGCTAGTAGGTAATAAAAGTTGGCATCTGTTTCAACTCGCGTCTTTTCAGAATGTAACCGTACTTAATTATGTAGACATAACAGATTATTATTAGATTAGATTTAATCAGTAACGAGAAATGTCGTGTCACACGGTTGCGAATGCATCTTATTTACCGCTCCATATCTACTCTGTTCTAATTCTATTACAAATAACTCTATTAAATAACCTGTCAAAACTCATTGCACCTTCAATTACTACTGTCTCTCTAAAAATTTTTAATCCATCCTAAGGTTGCCTGGAAGAGATTGCTCTTAGCAATTAGGCCGCCCTTAGTACATTACATGTCTGATATTTTTATGTACCATACTACTTGTAAAACGGCGTACAAGTAAAGAGTTTTCTATCTATCTATAACAAAGTAGAACTTGACCTACTTAAGTTCGAACCGTTACGATATTATAACCCTGCACAAGAGCGAGCTTACAGCGGCTGTTGTTTACCTCTCTACTGAGACAAGTTTGCCGTCTACGTTTTTAATGAAAATTATTTTGATGCTTCTCTATTTTATTGATATCTCTTTTTCAGAATACTTACCTTCACTTCTAACTTTATGTATGTATTGTATATTCATAAAGATGATGGAAACTATTTATTGACCATAAAAACTTGAAATTCATAATTTTGTGATATTTATAATTTGTGAACTAGTAATTATTAATATATGTCGGTAATTACGTACCTACTTAATTGTAAATGAATTAACTGGGTACTCATATTCCTTATGCACAATTACGTGTTTATTAGTTTCCACATCATCGCCAATACCGGGTCAATATGAGTAATTGCAAAATGTTATTTCCTTATTGTTTCTATTATCAAACGTAAAAACATGTAATGATAACAATAGCAAAAAAATGTGAATCTCAAAAATCTTTAATCGTGTCGCATAGTCGTCTCATGAAGGTCTGGAAGAGGATTAAAAGTTGTTTCGAATATCATTCTGACATTTATTAGAGCATGCAGGTAGTATTATAGGAATAAGAGTTTAAGACGTTAATACCTATTAACCTTTTTTTGTTTTTTTAATACATGTGGTAAGTCTACTATTTATAAGCTTGCCATATTAAGGATTCCATTCTCGCATTGATTGACAGTTGTTGTTGTGTAAAAATGACGTTACAGAGATCAGGTTCGTGTATGTTTTTCATACTAACCTCTGTCATAAGCAGTCGCCTTGTTGAAATGTTCCCAATCGTGATAAATAACAGATCCTATTTCCTTCCATAACGCTAACTTTTCCTCTCGATCGGCGGGCTGATCAGTTTTATACAACCCCGGCCGTTTTTTTATTTCATCGATCAATTGAACAGGATTAAAGATTGACATTTTGACAAATCACTAAATCGTTCCTTTGTATTAAAGGCGTCGATTATGATAGCGACGAAAAAAACGCGCCACCTCCGCAGCGGGGCGCGATGCGACTGACGCATTATCGCGCGTTTGTGCGCACGCTCGTTGTTCGTGATTGGCCGCTTTGCGACTCGCGACCGACAGAATGCCCGCCCACTGCGACTGGCGTGTCGCTGTGTCGTAAACTTTGTCGAATCGATTCATTATATCACGAAAAAACTCTCGTCATTTTACTATGATTATACATATTTTTCATCGATCAAGTCGTCCGTGACCGATGAAACCGGTAACCTACCTAACTATTTAAAAATGCCAATAAACTAAATATCTCTAAGTTATGGAATAATTTTAAAAAGAAACCCTTTTCATTTGTCTCGATTTTTAATGTTATTACTTATTTGCTTATTGTATCACAATATTAAGATTGGAACGTATTGTACATAACAACGCGTAGGTACATATATTAAGAATTAAATTGCCTACACCTTGCAAAACGGAAAGGCTTTGTTCAACAATACGCGCTGCGACAAGTCGTGGGCTGAATGGGCCCCTCACAATTTACAAAAGTAAGTAGAGATAAAACCTTACTCTTTGTTTTTATTTTGGACCTGATTAATTTGTAGTTTTGGATATGGATCAATATTATTTTTATAAAGTGGAACAATTGAGATAAAATATGAAAATGCTACCTATGGTTGGTTAGTTAATAGATACACAATACATATAATATTCTCTTTTATTTTGTAGACGTACAACTGTTTCTTCGTACTCTGAAAAAGACACGGCATTTTCAAGTAACCCTTGTGTGTTATAACTTGTATGTAAGTCGACTTGGAACTTGAAAGCAACCGCAACTTGGTCTTGCTTTTGTAGAGCTACGCCACGTTGCCAAACCGTGCACACATACAATTCTTTTATGTTCTTTTTTTTTGGATGCACTTTTTATATTCTCACACCAAAACCTGTTATTATTTAGGATATTTTAACTGATAAATGGCTTTTTAATAATAAGTTTCAAAAATGAAGTACCTGTATTCCATTTGCTTTATGAAAACCACTAATTTCAGTCATTGTAAATAAATAAAAAAAATTACAAAGACTTATTTACAATACTTTTAAGTATTTAAAGACTGTAACTTAAATGTGACTGTAGAGAGTGCAGCAATAAAAACAGCAAGTGCTTGCTGCGTGTCCGAAAATACTAATTAATTAATAATAATTATAATTATAATAATATATTTTAGCGAACACAAGGAAACTAAGACATTACAATCTCCTGGGAAGAAAAGAGTTCGACTGACGGTTGATAAGCTAGAAATGCATGCAAAGAAGCTTTCTTTAACTTTTGCTTGCATCCACAGATGACCAGCAGGTGTTACTATGCTTTTGTTTTATTTAAAAAGAACATTTTCTATCAGGTCGACAAACTTAAGTCTATATAATATATTTTTTTATGTACACCTTAGTACCTTACCTGTTCTATACTTGTGTGTATTCGATACTTGCTTTGTATTATAAAATTCAAACTCAAATATGTCAAATATTTCAATTTGAGCCAAATATAAGTATGTAGTACGAAACATATCCAGTCAACGATTGATTCGGTTCTCAGTTGAAACTATTAAACAAAAATTTTATTTCTTTTCAAGATTTTCAAGATGACAATGTGATTATAATTAAGGTTAAAAATTAGACCTGCAAAGTTTTTAGAGATCACTGTGCATAGCATGTCAGTAGCATGCATGATCAAAAATGTTTTATTCCCAGCACATTTAGCTGGAACATGTTAAAACTAAGTAAACCATGTCTGCAGAGGAAAACGACGGGATTATTGATTCGGTCGGTCCATTCGCACAAACCTTGCGGAGCTGCCAAGGGCACAGAAGTAGCGATACGAACACTAAATTTATAATGTTACTGTTTATTTTTCATGTTGAATACGGTTTTATAATAGAAAATATTATTACTATGGAATGCTATAGTTTATGATGTACAGGAATAATGCGGAAATACAGGCAGGATTTTTGTATTTACTAAGTACAAAATTCATTATAAATAATTTTAAAGAGTTCTGTAGTCTTGTGCTAGATTACATAGTAGGGCCGTCGTATGATATAAGAGTACCAATAACTCCCATGTCTACTGAATACGATATACCTACTGGCTCGCAGTGGTCGGCGTATATATGTTTATAAATAAAATGTGAAAATAAACTTAAATTCTAATAATAAATGGTTTTTTGATTGTGCATATTTAGAGCAAATTTCGCCCGTTTTTAGTGCATATTTTGGCATTTTGATAGTGCACATAATCCGATTTCTAGTAAAAGTAATCGTAAATTGGACTTCCATAGTTATAAAAGCGTATTGTGCAAAAAAAAATGAATGGAGCCCTACAGTTCATTTCAAGTCTGAATAGCGCAGCAGCAACGTGGAGCAGTGCGCCTCTAGCGACGTTGCCACTCCGCAGCCGGTACCGCTATGCGACGTTGCCGCGTCGACCCACTTCCAAGGCGGCAACAGGCGCACTTTTTTCACTTGCCAAAATGTTGGAAGTTATAATAAAGCTTAATTGCTCACAATATTTACATAAATGTTTTTTTTTTACCGAAATATACTTATTTCAAGATCGTGACCTTTACTTTGTACAATTGTTTATGTAAACGTATTTGTTCTAATAAATTAATGAAACCATACTTTATCGGCTTAGAGATAAAATCACTCAAATATGAATACCAATGCACTAGGTGTCTATGTATCATAAATTAAGTAATCCAAGAAATTGTTACAATACCGGGTGCGGATCTACCTGCGTCAAGTCAAGTTGGAAGCAGGTACAGTTAAAAAGCCGTCACCTACACGGGCGTCACGTTACCGTGAGCACAGAAATGACATTTTATTTAGTTTTGATCAATTTTGCATTTTATTTCTATTACAAATTTAGGACTAAGGACTATAACAATTCAACAATTTCTTTTAGTGTATGAAATTTTGTTTCAAAAATCTCTTCTTGAAATTATTTCTTCTATCAGGTACTTCTAAAATCGGTACCAATAGTTTTAGTTACAGTTAAATTACAAACTGAAACTGGAGCAATTTAAAATAAATACTAATTTCGGCTCATTATTTTAATGAGTGGAATTTTTCAAATTTTGTATATGTAGCAATAGAGCAGTATATTATGTCTATATTGATTTTATAATCCAAATCACAATACCCTACGACAACTAAACTATCTAAACACAAAACTGTGTATGTTATTTTGTGACTAAACTGGTAAAGTAAAAGTTTAGTCTAACCAAAGAACTCAAAAATGGCGCTTTAGAATCTAAATGATTTTTTAAATTATACACAGCGCTTGTTGCAGGTTAGCTTTTTATTTTCTTTATCTCTTTAACTATTTCATGGGGTTAACAAAAAACAAATAGGTGTTGTACTCATAAAGAATCCCTATAAAAAAGACCTTAAATCTTTTGGCGGACTTTGAAGGACCAACACAAAACACCTGACAGGTAAAATTAATAAAATAAAGAAAGCAAAAGAAGTTATTTTGAAGAATATTTTTAACTTATTATAAGTCTGGTTGGTACTATGCATTTATTAGTTAGTTAATTTAGTTGATTCAAGATCCGTGTCCAATATAATAATCTTTCAAGTATGATAAGAATACTTACTGTCGTGTTACTTGATTTGCGAAACAGGTCTGTATTGAAGATATAGGTTTTAATCGCATTTGAAATTGAAAGAATCATACCAATTATCTTATCTGCTATTAGAAGTAAAAAACAATTTAGATAACTTATCTTTCTTTGTCCGCATACCTACCTAGATATATTGTATTACGTATTACTTTATCTTACTATTACGTTTTATATTCTACCTAAAAGTATTTCTATCTCGAAATTAAGCACAGTAGTATTTAGTCTTTTGTACTTAATTGAAATACTATATCATTGGTAGGCCACCATGCCTGAATTGAAATTTGTACAATTACCAGAAACTACTATGTTAAATTATTAATATTAACGAATTAATGTTTGTTACAAACCCTTGCACCAATAGTTGCAAATCAAAGTGCATATATTATGTCTTTATCAGACTTATTCCTGAGTAGGGGTTTTCTTTCTCTTAAATCTTAAATTCGATTAATTACTTGCCCAAACAACAGTATGTTAGTATGTAGTTCTATTCCTGCAATCTAAGGCAGACAATTTACATACTATTTAATATGCTCAGTGTAATGTAAAGTTTTACTATCCCTATTTAAGACATAACAAAGTTCGGAGGACAATTGGAACTTACGGAGTCCAGTGATGTCGAGTATAGGTTGGTTCTACCAGCAATGTTAGTAATCTCGTGGGAGGTAAAGCTCAAAGAAAATATCCTCAATGACAGTTTGACCAAAATCAATTAGTAAATGATATCAAATAGTGGTCATATCTTGGAAGAGTAAATAAACATCGTCGGTAACAGACATTAAACTATATTTACACTCCAGAAATATTGTTGCTTGCGTAATCATTGTATACATACACTAGGTAGGTACGCGTTGTCGGAGCAATGTGTGTGAGCGTCAGTCAAGAGAAGCACAATGTGCATCCGGTTTATTGTCGGCAGTCGGCACCTCACAGATCTGCATCTTTATGCACCCTCGCATGCATGCATGGTACATAGAACGACCACATACCATAGTACGTGCGAAGCACTTTTAGTTCTTACATTTAATACGAGTATAATAGCTGTATCAGTCACAAATACAAGTACGGATGCTCATAGAGACATAATAGTAAACTCAAAAGTCTTAACATAAGTACATACAATATTTGTACGTACATAGTCTTAATATGTTATCTATGTAACGTACACGAACTCACAGGTGTCCAGCTTATCCAATGTCATCCATTAGTCTCACACGATACCCGCGGGAAACAATCCAACAGTATTTTCCTACAACACTCAGTGTATAGTGACATGTAT